TGAATTTTAATTAAAAAAATTGAGTATTTGTTGAGTATTCTTTAGACAGTAATTGAATTTTAATTTTTTTTTACCCACTCAAATTTGAAATTATTATTAGTCGATCAATTTTATTAAAATTAATTTGAGGAATAAACTAGTTACAATTAGGCGTGGTCATTCACTAGGTCGGGCCGGGTCATGCCGGACTAGTATTACCTAATAATGGATTTTATGTTTATCTAAGTCAATCTGACCTGAATATTGGGCCTATATATTCAACCCAAGCCCAGTCCTAAATAAATTACAAATCCTAAACCCGCCCATTGGGTCATATACATAAGTTATAAAAAAATTAAACATCATAGTACTTGTTATTTTTTTCATAAATAGACAAATGCCTATAAAGCAACTAATCATTAAAGATTTAATACCATATTAATTAAAACATTACAATTTTTTTTAAAACCAAACACACCAATAATTTCACAAGTTTTTAAACCAAACTGTTAGTAATGCATTAAACTAAAAAAAGTTTATAATTTAAACTTTATTATATAAATAAGTTAATTAAATATGTAATGGGCTGGGTAGGGCCAAAAATATAATTTTCAAACCTTGTCAATTAATCAATCAAGTTGAAAATATCAATCCAGTCCAGCCCAGCCTTGCCCTATGGGCTAAAATATTATTCCCCAACCTTAACAAAATAGGATTGAGCTGGGCGGGCCAGTGTGCCGATGCCCACCCTTTTTTTTGAAGCAGCCAAAGAAACCTTTATTGATGACCAAACCATACAAGATGAGAGTACATCAAAAAAGGAGAGGAAAGGGGTTTGGAGAGGAACCAAACCGAAACAGAAAAAAAAGAACAAAGCAGAAGAATCAAAATGCAAAACAAGACCAGGAAACACATCCAGGGGCAACAGAACACACCAGAACCAACCTCAACCTAACCCAAAGCTGAGAAGAAGCTCAAGCTGAAAACAGCAGGCCAAAGCAGCAGTCCAACAGCCCCGAAGAGAATTGAGCAGAGCACACCAGACCTGAAAACAGAACTCCACCAGAACAAAAACACCAAGGGAAGTACTCCAAGAAAAACCAGAAGCAAACTGATATCTAAATTAGCCACATAGGACAGATTTACTCCCCAAACAGTACCTGATTTGTCTTAAATTGGACAGGAAGTCCTGGACAGTGAAATTGAAGGCCTTGAATCTATGTTTCAACCACAGTGCAACTCTGATTTTAACCAACTCACATAGGTCCTCCAAATGAGGTTTAGCAGCCTGAAAAATACACTCATTTCGCAGCTTCCACAGAGACCAAAACACAGCTGAGGGAATGACTTTCCAAAGCAATTTTTCTTTTTTGCTAAGCTTCACACCTTCCCACCAGTGAAGAACAGATTCCACAGATCCGGGAAGGGCTCCTTGCACCTCCCACCAATTCAATATTGCAGACCAAACCCTCCAGGAAAAATGGCAGTGCAGCAGCACATGGCAGATAGACTCAGCCACAGTTTTGCAGAAAGCACAAAGAGCTGGTGAAGAGGCTTGAAGGACTCCAATTTTCTGGAGAAAGTCTGCTGTCTTTACTCTGTTTTTCCATGCTAACCAGCAAAAAAACTGGACTTTTGGAGGTGCGAGATGGTTCCAAACTAACTTGCTAGTAATAAGGATGGGGCCAAGGGAGACAACCTCACTCCGATAGACAGATGAGACAGAAAACATACCAGAGCCTTCAGCCAACCAGACTGGTTTGTCCACTAGATTATCAGAACAATTAGAGCCAGATATCAAAAGCTCCTTGAGTCTACTGACTTCCCTCTCTTCCCAGTCATACAGCATTCTTCTAAAAAGAAGGCTCCAATCCCCTACTGCAACCTTCCTATCGTGCATTATACGTAAAGTTACATCCTTCTCCATCACTAATCTGTAAAGAGTAGGGAATTCATCTTTCAAGCAACTATTGGAGCACCATCTATCCTTCCAGAAGAGAATTCTTTTCCCATCCCCTACCTGAACAAGAAAATTGTTGTGATAAAACAACATCAGATTACCGCTCCTCTCTGCTAAGGAAATGATACCTTTCCACACACCAGAGTAACTATTGTTTGAAATAGGAGAGGGGCACCAGCTTTTGACATCTAGTTTATATTTGCTACAAATGATTTGTCTCCACAAAGCATCTTTCTCTTTGGAAAATCTCCACCACCATTTTAATAACAAGCAATCATTAACGAGCCTTATTCTTCTGATGCCCAAGCCCCCTTGATTCATGTTCTTTGCTAAATCATCCCATTTAACCAGGTAGATTGGTTTCTTAGACCCCGTCCCACCCCAGAGAAAAGCAGCTTGAAGCTTCTCAAATTCTCTTGCAACTCCCACTGGCATTTTAAAGAGAGATAGATAATACGTAGGCAAGGCAGAGGTTACAGACTTAATAAGAGTGAGCCTTCCTGAAAATGATAGCAGCTTCCTTTTCCAACATGCTAATCTGATTTTGATTTTATCAAGAACTGGTTTCCAAGTTGCCTTCTTATTTGGATTTGCCCCCAAAGGCAAACCCAAATACTTAAGAGGAAGTGCCTTAGATTTACAATGCAGCTTGGAGGCAAAACTAGACAAGGATTCTTCAGGAACATTAATACCGCACACCTGACTCTTATGATAATTTATTTTCAGCCCTGAAATCAGTTCAAAACACCTTAAGACCCTCTTAATGTTGCACACCTCCATCTCCTTAGCTTCACAGAATAATATGGAATCATCTGCAAATTGTAAATGTGTTAACTGCACCCCATTAGAACCAATCGTCACTCCTTTAATCAAGCCCAACTGCTGTGCTCTTGACATAAGAATATTAAGACCCTCAACTGCTACATTAAACAGAAAGGGGGAGAGGGGGTCACCTTGCCTTAGGCCCTTTTGAGGGCAAAATTCCTCAGTTGGTGAACCATTAACCAACACTGAGAGTTTTGCTGTAGTAACACATTCTTTTACCCAACTAATCCATTTTGCACCAAACCCAAAATTGAAGAGCATGGATGATAAGAAGCACCAATTAACTGAGTCAAAAGCCTTTTCAAAATCAATCTTAATAATCAGACCTCTCTTTTTGGTTTTTCTCCAGCCATCAACCACCTCATTTGCAATTAGCACACCATCCAGGATGTTTCTTCCACCTGTAAAGGCTGATTGGGTATCACTGATGATTTGAGGAAACACTCTTTTTAGCCTACTAGACAAAACTTTTGCAAGGACTTTGTAAACTGAACCCACTAGGCTGATAGGTCTATAGTCACCTAGCCCCACTGGATTTTCAACCTTTGAGATTAGTGAAATAAATGAGCTATTAAGGCCCAACACCAACCTTCCATGCCTATGAAATTCCTTAAAAAACTTCAGTAAATCAGCTTTCAACAATAACCAAAACATTAATTGCCGATGCCCACCCTTAGTTACAATTGTGCGTGCTCCAAAATCGACTCGAGATAATTTGAGACTTAAAGAAATAATTCTAAATGAGAATTTTTATATTATTATTATTTTTTTTACAAAGTATATTATTTAAAATTTAATTTTTTATATTTAGGGGGATAATTGATTTTTAAGGTATAATTTGGAGATAAAATAAAGTTCCAAATGGAATTTGGTACCACGTTAGCAAGTTCCGTTTGATTATAAATGGAAACAAACGGAAACAAGTAAATTGATCAAATTTAAAAAAAAATTAGAAATCAAATTAAAATAATGTAAAATGTGAGTGCTAAATTATTTTTTGCATTATAGCTTAGAAGCAAAATGATATTTCCTCATATAAATACGCAGGCTATAAAAATATCTTATCTTGTCTTACCTTTTTTATTTTTTATTTTTTAAAACATTAAAAAAAATAGAAGATGTTCTCATGTGTCATAACTGCATCTGTTGGTCTAAGTTCTGAGATAATCGATTACCAGTCTGATTTAATCTAACTTATAAGAAAGGATCCACTACCAAAATATTAATAGAGCTTAACCACATTCCAAAAAAAAACTACGTATCAATTAAATTATAGTACAATATCTCCTTAACAAACTAAGTGCACCACTCAACAGATTCACATCCCCTAGAAGTCGAACCTGATTGACTCCTATAGAATGAGCAGCCTTCACCGGGCCACTACCTTCAGTGGTTCTTATCTTATCTTTATCTTATATATAACAAAACAAGAAGTTGATAGGACAGTTGTCTACGTGGATTACACATTCTTCATCTTTCAAAAACAAGGGCTGATGGATTACACATTCTTCCTCTTTCAAAAACGAGGGGCTGACAGGACCATTTCTTCACAAGTGATATGATTGATATTGAATAACAATGGAGCACTGCTGGGGACCCCCAGCCAAAAAAAAAAAAAAAAAAAAAAAAGAAAAACAGTTTCAGCCAAGCAAAAATTAGTGGGTGCCCCACTGGGGTCTAAGTATTTTCCAATAAAAATGTTCTACAAAATTTTCGAGAAAATATTATTTTATTCTTTAAACTATCACTTAAAAATTAATTCAATTCATATTCTTTTAATAATATTAATTTTATACTTAAATTATTTAATTTTGAATCAATTTTACACTTGCAATTAGCTACTGTTTATAATTAAAAAAAATTATTGACATGATACCAAAATTTTGTTTGAAATTTTATTTTATCTCCCAAATTACCTTAAAAATATTAATTGAACCCCTAAATTTCATATTTCTTAGGAGTTTAATTGATATTTTAAAATAATTTGAAGGATAAAATAATATCTCAAATAAAGACAGCGATAAGAGTCGTCTAATTATAGAAAGCGGCTGACAGAATGACTGAAATTGATAAAAAACAAAATAATTTAATTATAAAATTGATATGATTAAAAATATAGAAGTTGAATTAATTTTTGAGTAAGAAAAGGACACCTACGTTGACCAAATCACTAGATTTCAAACAATGATATACCTATTTATACCCCAAATTGCATACACTCTTCCTCATCACAACAATGGCTTTCCAATCACACATTCAACTTTCTTGTCTGTCAATTATCACATTTTACATGCTTCTCGCAACTCCTCGTGCAACTGCACTAAACTTCAACATTGCCAAAATCGGTCCCAAAAATCTCAACGTTGACATAACAGTCGATGGAGACGCTTACATCTCCTCCGAAGGCATCCGCCTTGCGGCGGATAAGCAGGATACTGACTTCACGCAAAAAGCCGGCAGAGCCACCTATGTCAAACCGCTTCACCTTTGGGACAAAGTTTCTGGCAAGTTGACCGACTTCACCACCTATTTCTCCTTCATGATTGATTCGGATGGAAGTTCAATTTTCGGTGATGGGCTTGCATTCTTCCTTGAACCTTCCAATTCTAGCAGCACCGCGAGCTACGCCGTGGGCGGTGCCATTGGGCTTCCAATCGATCCATCGACATTGGAAGCCACCAGCCCATTTGTTGCTGTGGAGTTTGATACTTATCAAAATTCTTGGGATCCACAAAACATCACTCCTTCTACTCATCTCGGTATCAATATCAACTCTATTAAGTCTAATGTGACTAAAGTATGGTACAATAACATAACACATGGGATAGATAATGACGCTGTGATTAGTTATCGCTCTAAGTCAAAAACATTGAGTGTTATTATCACTAGCTCTATCAATAAGGTCATAGTCAGACAAGACCTTTATTTTAGGGTTGATCTAAGGAATTACTTGTCAGAAAGGGTTACATGTGGCTTCTCGGCTTCAACTGGTGCATTTTTTGAAAAAAATGTTGTTAAGTCATGGAAATTTAATTCGAATCTTTAAGTTTGAGGAAATAAAGTAAACGTTACAGCTCCAAGAGCATAAGGTAATCTTGGACTTTGAATAAGATATTTACTAGTTACTAGTAAATAATTGGAATAATTGTTATTCCTTGAATGGATATACTTTTCTATTTGGAATAATATGTTATGGATGCATCTTATAATATGATTTTGTAATATTTTTTTTATCAGGTTGTGGATGTTGAATTGTGTTGTCTATAAATATAATAGATATAAAATTGTAAAACTAACCATCAAAATTTTTATTAAAAAAAAATAAATTTTAATCTACGCAATCTTACTCAATAATGTCATAATCCAATACTTTCTCTCATGAGCAATTACCTAAAGAAAGGAAGCTTCTTACAGTCTCAATAATGTCATATTCAAATACTTTCTCTCATGAGCAATTACATAAAGAAAGGAAGCTTCTATACTCATTTTTTTCCCCCAAAAGAGAGTCTTACTAAAAGCTTCTATACTCAATTTTTATTTTAAGGTTAAAATGGAAAACATGGGTGGGAGAATTTTTGGCTTCAAGATGGCATCCAAGACCAGAAGCACACGTCAACAAATCACAAATCAAAACGTAAATTATATTTTGTACTTTATATTTAATTGAATTTTATCTTTTTGATTTTTTAAGTGATTTAGTCAACTTCTAGACGTTGGGTCAAGTAGCAATTTTATTCATTTGCATAATGTTATTTTGAAAACTAACGGAGAACAGTTACGTGATAGCATTAATAACTCTTTGCATTGTATAATTAACAAAATTTCACTTTAGTCTTTAACATCTCTGTCCTTATAACAAAATCTCACTTAAATTTTTACATTTTAATTTATCTTTCAATTTTTAAAATAATATTATTCGACTGACCTAGATCTAGAATGAATTTATTGATTTTTTAAAGATAAAATGTGAGTATATACATTGTTGATTACAAAATGTGGATATTAGAATACACATTTTAGCACACTTTTGTTAGTTGAAATGACTATCAGTTGGAGATGCTGAGAGTTAGTAACAGCAATACATAATATTTTCTCTAAATAAATTTGGCTACGTAGCAAAAAAAAAAAAAAACATTTGGGGCTGAAAAGTTTGTGAAGACTCGCTCAACTATTGTGACTACTCCAAATGAAGGGGAGTCAACTTTGCAATGAAGAAAATTCTTTGGCTCGTACACCTAAATTGTTACTACAAGAAAAGTGGGTTTAAAAGACGGAACTTTTTGCGATAGCACATTTGTCGTCGCAAAAAGTTTTTTTTTTTTGCGACGGCACAACTTGCCGTCGCAAAAAATGTGCCTTTTTGAGACGGGACAACTTGCCGTCACAAAAAATGTGACTTTTTGAGACGGCACAACTTGCTGTCGCAAAAAAAAAATAGAGTATTTTGCGACAGCAGAGATTGCTGTCGTAAAAAAAATAGAGTTTTTGCGACGTCACCAGCTACAGTCGCAAAAGAAAAAAAAAAGGATTTTTGCGACGGTAATAGGTACCGTTGCAAAAAAAAAAAAAAAAATATATATATATATATTGTGGCTTTGAGACGACTTCATATATATATAGTCACAAAATGGTTTAAATAAGTGCAACGGTATTTTTCTGTCACAAAAAAAATTTAAAAAAAACAACGTCGTCTTTCTCTTTTGATATGACATTTATCTTTTCACCCATTTTTTCATCTTCCTGTCTCTCTGTCTCTATCTCTGTCTCTCTTCTCTTTCTCTCTCTCACTAATCACTCTTCTCTGTCTGTCTGTCTGTCTCTTTCTTTCTCTCTGTGTCTGTCTCTTTTCTCTATTTCTCTTCTCTATCTCTCTCTCACTCGTCACTCTTCTCTGTCTGTCTGTTTCTTTCTTTTTGTGTCTTTGTCTCTCTTCTCTTTCTCTTTCTCTCTCTCACTTATCACTCTTCTCTGTTTGTCTGTCTGTCTATCTCTCTCTCTTTTTCTCTCTGTGTCTCTCGCCCATCTCTCTTCTCTCTATCTCTTTCATCTCTCTTCTCTCTCTCTTTTCTTTATCTCTCTCGCTCTCTCACTCGTATCTCTCTGTTTCTCTCTCGTTTATCTCTTTTCGCTCTTTCTTTCTCTTTCTCTCTCTCTCTCTCTTTGTCTATCTCTTGCTCATCTTTTGTTTCCTTCTTTTTTTGTCTCTCTGTCACTCGCTCTCTCTGTCTCTCTTGTTAATCTCTCTTCTCTCTCTATCTCTTTTTTTTTCTATGTCTCTTTCTCATTAATCTCTTTTCGCTTTCTTTCTCTCTCATTTTGTTTATCTCTTGCTCATCTCTTGTTTCTCTCTCTTTTTCTGTCACTCTTTCTCTCTTTCTATCTCTTTCTCTCTTTGTCTATCTCTATCTCTTTCTCTCTCTGTTTCTCTCTCTCTCTCTCTCATTACTCTTCTCTTTCTCTGTCTACTTGTCTGTTTGTTTTTCTGTCTGTCTGTCTATCTCTCTCTCTCCCCCACTGTGTTCGTATTGCTTACACTCTCCCTCATCTCTTCTCTATTTATTGAGCTCTCTCTCGATTTATCGATCCACTACAAGAAAATACACTTTTAGCGACCATTTTGTCTCTTTCTCGCTCATCACCCTGTCTCTCTCTCTGTCTCCCTATCTCTCTTCTCTATCTGTCTCTCACTCATCTCTTTCTCTCACTACCTATCTTCTCTACCACATTTACCACTATTGCAAATGCCATTCCATTACCACCACTACTACCACTGTTGCCACTCCACCTCTACGATTACCATTACTATCACCATCGCCACCACTCCACTGCCACCACTACCACTACTGCCACTACTACTACCATTACCTCTCCTCCACCACCACCACTCCATCTCCTCTACCACTACCACAACTTCACTACTAATCTCCTTCGGCATCACCGCCACCACCACCACCACCACCACCTCTTGTCCACCACATTCACCATTACTGCCACTCCCTCTTCTCTGCCACTCTCATTTTAGTAACAAAAAAAAAAAAAGGGTCGTAGAAAAATATATTTCATTGACCAAAAAAAATTAACTTTATTTTAGCGAAAAATATTTTTCATTAACATATTACCCCTACTTCTACAAAAAAATAAAATAAAAATTCATTAATATAAAAATGAAACAAATAAAATTTCAACCTTAGTAACTAAAAAAAATAAAAAATAAAATAAAAATTTCATTACCTCTACTCATCACTCTTTATCTCTCTGTCTGTGTCTTTCTCTTTCTCTCTCTCTCTCTCTCTCTCTCTGTCCCACATTGTGCTCGCGTTGCTCACTCTCTCCATCCCCTCTTATTGATTTACCGATCTCCCTCTCGATTTATCGATCTCTTTTTTTTCTTTTTTCTCTTTCTCTCTATTTTTTCAATCGCTATTCTCTCATTTCTCTTAATCACTTGTCGAAAGAGAAAAAAGTCAAAAAATGAAATGGGCCTCTCTCTCTCTCTCACTCATCACTCTTCTCCCTAGCTCTCTCATTTCTCTCCGCTCTCTATCTCTCTTGCTCATCTTTCTTCTCTCTCTCTCTTTATGTCTCTCTCTATATCTCTTGTTCATCTCTTTTTGTTGTTTCTCTCTCTCTCTCTATCTATCTCTCACTCATCTTGTTTCTCTTTTTTTTTCTCTGTGTGTGTGTCTTTCTCTCTCTCTCACTCATCATTATTCTCTCTGGCTCTCTCATCTCTCTTGCTCATCTTTCTTCTCTTTTATTCTCTCTCTATATCTCTTGTTCATCTATTTTTGTTGTCTCTCTCTCTCTCTCTCTCACTCATTTCTCTTCTCTCTCAATCGTTCATTTCTCTCATTCACACTCATATTTTTCTTTGAGCCCATTGTTGTTGAAAGAGGAAAAAGTCAAAAAATGAAATGGGCCTCTCTCTCTCTCTGTCTCTTTCTCTCTGTGTCTCTCACTCATCTCTATTTTCTCTCTCTTTCACTCATCTCTCTCGAAAAATGAGTTTACGTTGATTTTTAAACAGAAATCTAAAAATTTGACTAACAATTTTTTTTAATTAATTTTTTTTTCAAATATTTTTTTTTCAATTGATTTTTTTTAATATTTTTTTAAATAAATTTTTTTCAATTAATTTTTTTTTCAATTAAAATGTGTATGATCTCATTGTCATAAATAATAAAAAAATAAATATAAATATTCTAGGCCTAGATAAACATGTTTTTTAGTTTATGTTTTTAAATTTTTAAAAATATTTTGTTCAAACCAAATGCGTTTGTAATTTATATTTTTTCTAAAAATAAACAAAAACTAATTTATAAAATTTTTGTAAACATAAACCAAAAATATAAATGTTATCAAACGCTACCTTAAATTTTCATTTGAGACAGTTATACTTGATGTGGCAAAAAAAAAAAAAAAAAACACAAAATCTGATTCCTGCTCGTTTTTCCCCCCTCAACCAAAAATCCCCAAATCTCAAATCCCTAATTTTTGAACCAAAAATCCCCATCTCTCTCTCTCGTGACTGTGAGCACGGCAGACGATGGCGTCAAACGACGGGGTTAAGGAACCTCACTCTTTTGTTTCTCACTCCGTTGGCTTTCCTTCTGCTACTCTCATTCTAGTGGTGAAGGAGCTGCTCAGGGACCATCGCAGCCATTAATAGCAAGCTCGAAGCTTTCAGCTTCAAGAACATCGGTCCGCTCAAATTCGCATGATTGAAGAGATTTTCCGATTCGTCGGTGTTCCTAGTGCGGTCTAATTTCTTATATCTTTCTGTCTATCTGAATATATTTGATGATTTCATTTCATTTAAATAAACAGAACATTCTTATATTTTGCAATTGTTTTGTTGAATCTACAATGGAATGCGAAGGTGATTACATCTGTAGTGTGAGGATTTTGCTGCATTCGTTCTTGGCGCAGAATCCCTTGGACTTTGCCTGTTGAAGCCCTAGGTCATAGCTCTCTCTCTCTTTCTCTCCTAAAATCTAGTATATATTTTGGTCCATTTTCTGAGCCTTATTCCGGTTATGCTTGTGT